CCTACTCTTTCACGGAAATCACGCCTGGGCTGCACGCCCGTGTAGCTGCTCGTCTTCCACGAAAGTGTAAACCACATCTGGGTATGGCCGGCAAGCCCACATGTCACCGCGTTTATCGGAGCGCAACATGTACAATGTACAGCTCAGGCACGTGGAAACCGCGGATTGTTCCTCGGCTGGCATCATAGCTTGGAAATTTCCCCCGACGGAGACAGAACGGATTTCCGTGATGCTTGCACCACCCTGAGACGAATGATCATGTCATATCGTAGGTCTCTAAGCAAGACTCAGAAAGGACAAGCCTGTACACGTGGCCAAGATTCGCTTCTTGCGGCTCCAAAGCTCCCAAGCGGCGCAAATAGTCGGTCGCGCTGCGCGCGACGTCGTAATTAATTAGGATCCTTGGATGGAATCTTCTCCGCATGGCAATGTCTCCGAGGCTCGGTTTCATTCTAATCGGAAAGCATGCCACAAGAAGACATGACGAACTGATCCGCCGATGGGCATGTTGCATATTACATGTGCCCCTACCCCAACCCCCCATAGCTATCGCCAGGATCTTTCTTCGTGTCCCCACTCAATTAATACAGTACAATGGTCTACTTTCCGGCAACATATTACCCTTTCTGGAACCAGGCAGGTTGCTGGCAACTTCCTGGTGTCCACGGCAAAGTTCCTGAGCAATGCATAGGCACCGTGGAACAAGACAATCTGCAACAGCGAGAGAACACACGCTGGTCTGTTGGTATGTCCAGGCTAACTGTAACAGTAACAGTTGGATTGGACTTCCTGCTGCCACCTGACCCAATCAAGGCCCCAACGAGTGTTTGCCTGCAGCACTTTAGCATCACAGTCGACTCGTGCCGCTGGATTGCTCTCGAAAGCTTCTGCTCATTCTAGCTCATTCTACTAGTAGTGCAGGTAGTACCGAAACTGTTTCACGACACATTTCTATGCACCGATTAAACTGCGCCTTGTCGTCGGTCGCGACAACCTGAGATGGGTGCCGCCGAGGGCAGCCGACACATCAGCAGATTATCGGAAGGCATTGAAGTTAGAAACTGGCGTTTGAAGCTCATATGTGCAGATGCGATGCAGCAACTTTGGGAAAAGCTCCTCTCCTGCACGGCCAGGAGCACTTCCAACTGTTTTAAGAAAGGCCACACAACCGGCTATGTCACGGGGGACTTTCACTTGGCAGCTTTGGAAACACTCGCATCTGAGAACAGGGTTGTCACGCAAGGCTTTCGCAAGCACAAGCTCGTGTTCCAAACATCGTTGCGAGGGCACCGCCCCTTTCGAGCGGCTTGCACATTTTGTCCAAATGCTTGGACACTTTTGTGGTGGTTTGCCATTGTTTCAATACTCAGTCTAGTCTCTTTCCAATGTCGTTCTCCTCTTCTCAAACGCACTAGTCCTTTCCGAGTGGTTTGTTTGCCTCTGCTTTTCTGTTCAGTTGCTCTGCTCCCTGTCGAGCGATTTGCTCCCTTATGTTCATTTGCTCTAAGGATCCAGCTCTCTTTCGAGGGTTGCTCTTTTTTGTCACATGCTCTGGTACCTTTCGACCGGTTTGACACTGTTTGCTTCTTGTTCTCAAACATGTTCGTGCCGTTCGAGCGGTTTGCTTCTTAAAACAATCGCTCAACGCGCATTCCAACGCACTAATCCTCTGTTCTCACAACGGCTTACTCGTTTTTCTCACTCGCTCTGGGCTTTCCCGATCGATTTGGTGAGTTTGCTGGTCTCTAGCCGCTTTATATTAACTTGCTCTAATCCTTCTCGAACCGTTTGCTGCTTTTCTCAAATGCTCTCGTCCCTCCTGAGAGGTGTGCTTCTTTCCTCAAACGCCCCGGTCCCCTTTGGAGCGGTTTGCTCCTTTCCTCAAAGGCTCGAGTCCCTTTCGAGCCGTTTGCTCTTGTTTCTCAATCACTCTACTCCGTTTCTTGCGGGATGCCTCTGTTTCTCGGAGTCTCTGGCCTTTTTTGCGCGGCTTGCCCGTTCTTCTAAAATGCTCTGGTCCTTTTCACTGGTTTGCTGCGTTCGCGTGTGACCTTGGGTACTAAATGCTCAGATGCCCGTTTGCGTGTGACCTTGGGTACTATAATGGCATGCTTCTGGTACATGGTCTTCCCTTTCAAGCGGTTTGCTACTTGTTCTCAAAGCCTCTAGCCCAGGGCCTGCTACAAATCTGAACCGTGCCCGGACATAGTACCTACATACGACATTCTGCAACTATAAATAAATAGTACATAGATATGACATTTTTTATGGATGGACAAGGGCCGTGGGAAGGAAGTACAGGACTCCACTGCCGGGAATCACTCGAGCGTCTGTGCTGTTGTTGCTCGGCATGTCTGGAGTATGCTTGAAACAGCTGCTTTTGCTTGTAGGATGCTGGCAGCCGCGACCCTTGAAAGTGAGGCAATGCTCCAGCGGTCCTGGCCCCACAGGCAGCGCACCTCAGTTGCACGCATCTCCGGAGCCGAAAAGCGGTTTTCTTTATCTTCGACTAAGCCAATTGAGACAGGGCGGCTCTTCGGAGAGCCAACCGTTGAGCAGGGTACAGCGCCCGCAGGCCCAGTCGTGCATCCAACTGTCAAGTTGGTCTCGTGCGGAACTCCGGAGTCTTGACGAACATTCGACCGAAAGTTAACATGTCGAATCCCTGAGTGGCAAACAGTCTGTCGTGCTGGCAGCAAGCCCTGCTCTGCGCAAACATGATCCGTCCTGGAGTAGTTAGCAGTTTTCCGCTAAAACAACCCATAGCTTGTCGAGTCGAGGCCAGTGAGGAAAGAGCACTGATCGCTAAAACAGATCCCTGGCCTTGCCTGCTCATCTCTGGGTCAAGTTTCTCGCTCAGCGGGGCGTCTGTGCAAGCTTGGCATGCTGTGGCCGTACTAGCAGGCTTACTGGTGCTGCCAGGATCACTCAAACTTGCCAAGGCAGCATCCTTGCTTCGTTTGCTTCATGAACCACGATGCCTCCTGCCGTGTCTGTGGACACTGCGGCTTCCATAGCCTCACAAAGGTGCCGCTTCAAAGGTGCAGGGCTCGCTTACCGACGCTGTCCACTTACTCCAACATGCATGTGGGCGGCGTCATGTTACATGCCTAGTAGGCCCTGTGATCGGGGGCCAGCGGCTTCCCAGGAGCTGTAAGTGTCTGGTGTGTCCCCTGTGTCCTGCGAAGCCTCATATGTAAGAACAGCTAACATGCAGGCAGCAGCAGTGAATGGATGCCAGCACCAGGGTAATTAGGCAAGCCCTTTTGGCCAACCAAAACCAGAACAGCAGTACATCCGCGATGGGATTCCATCACCTTATAAATCGTACTGTACCCATTGTCCGAATCGCACAGCCCTGCTTTCGCGCAAACTTCCTCTCGCCTTTCGGCAACCTGCGCGGCTGCGGGCTGCAGCCGCCAAGGCCTCTGTACACAGTTGGTTGTCAGCATCACCGCTATTCCAAGGTAGCCAGGCTTGCGGGACTGTAGAGATCCGCACGGGGGTAGTGTGAGGGTGCATGTGTCACGACTTAGTATCATGCACAAATTTTCTCCGGCGCCTGCCGTCGACTCCGATCAACGACGGATGCAGCCTCGACAATGACATACTTTGGTGTGAGCACGGAACTGGATCAGCTGATGCCGTGGCCAAACTTTCCAAAGCCTAATAGTCCGCGAGCTGTGCAGTGCTGTCTAGATCTCAGGGTGGATCCGACTTTCTGCGCCTGCGCTTGGGAAGCCGTGTTTGCAAAGACGATCGCCGGACCTTGTCATCTGTGGCGACATCGAGATCAATGAAAGCTGCCATGCGTACTGCGGCATTCGGGTTCCGAGCCGGAATCCGCTGGCAGGCGATCCAAGAGCTGTTGTAGACGCTCCTCCTGAACAGTGTAACTTGGGTCCAATTCATGACTGTCAGTCGATCAGAGGCAAATTTGGGGATAACTCGGCTTTCCTTATCCGAGCCACCTTGGAGTCGTAGTCCTCGCCGCCTACGAGTCCGAACTGATGAACGGCTTTCAGCATGGCCTTCACTTCCGGAGGCACCTGCCCAGAAAAGTTCAAGCAAGAGGCATGCGTTGAAGCAGAGTGCCTCGCACGGCCCTTTGCAGGACCTTCTGTCATGAGGTGGTTGCAATCAGCTGCCGGCCCACTTCGCAAGCCTCTTCGCCGCTCTTGTCAGGGCTTTCTGTTTTCCGACGCTTCCGAGTGCATGGCGCACTCTTGCCTCCAGGTGAATATAAACGAGCACATGAACAACTCCGCATGGCGTACTACAGAAGCAGTAGCGGCGCAACTTCAACTGTGCAAGCTGGATACATGAATGCGGCGTGATCGCAGGCAGTCTTTTCTCAGAGCCTCCACCTTTGTGGGGGCGCTTTGATCCGGCCCAAGTTCGCTCAGGGGGCATCGTGCTATGCTAGTCGTTTTAACGTCTATAGCTGCAACAACTCGTCCGTGGAGTCAAGAGTGTACCTGCATGAATGTAAGTCACAGTTGTTTGAATGTCTATGTGGTCGCTGTGGGTGCCTTTGCTGGCACTGCACGTGCCCCGTGCTGGTCGAGCCCATCATTTACCGCGTCAGGGAACAACGAAGCCAAGCAAGAATACCCAAAATCTGAATACTAGTTACTAGTGCAATGGTGCTGGAAGGTACTAGTAATGCTAGCGATGACCAGGATGACACTGATCACAGCGCAGATCAGACCATGCTGACGAATGCCACTGCTATTTCCGTACTCTGATTTCATCACTCGAAGCGTAAGGTCACAGCCCGCTTTTGCGAGGCCAAGTCGGCAGGACTCCCCGCAAGTCCTTCTTGAAAATATTTTATAGCCAAGCTGAATTAAGCTGAAGCCTACCCGGCAGGAACAGACTCGACAAGGAGCCTTTGTTAGGCTGCTGGCTTTGGCAGTATGCCCTTGGGCCATGCTTCTCCCCAGGACACGACTGCCAGCACTTTGGCACTGGAGAGGTGATTGAGGCGGCACTTAAACTTATAGCGACAACCCAGAGGTGCCAGAAGGCAGAGGCTTGCTCATGCTCTGTACACGCCTTCTTGCTTCTGCTACAATTCCGCGACGAACGGCAACGCGCACGCAGTAGCGACGGACTATTTGCCCAAGTCGGGGGCATGTGAGACTGTGTTTCGCAATGATGGTCATGAAGTCGTCGCGTGAAAGGCACAGGACTTCTATGTAAGTCAAGGCATAGAAGTCCACCCGGCGCACGAGAGCTTTGTCGGAGAGTACAAAGTCTTCGCCCCACACGCTGCCCTTATGCTCGAGCCTGTGTGATCGAAGCACGAGGCCCTTTGACAAGATGCTCAGCACGCGGACATTGCTAACAAATTCCCCTTGTGCATAGGCCACACTCTTCAGTTCGCGCACAATGTCCGCAATACATGCGCGATAGGGCGCAACAGAGACCCCTTGGGCTTGGAGTTCCTCCGTCTCTCGAACAAAGCGGTTGAAGAAGATCACACGCTCCAGCCATGGGAAATTCACGACTGTGGCAACTTCTGCCTTCAGCTGCGGGCTCATGGCATCCAGCAAACTCTGCTGAGTCAAATGTCTCGCCTGATCGCGGTTATGCATGAAGAACTCCCGAACTCGCGATTTCAACTGATGTGGCAAGTGCTCTTCTTCCATCATCATGTTCAGGTGGTGCATTCCTGATGCCCAAACGCGAGGAGGAAGAGATGTCCAGTCATGAGTATATCTTAACTTAGTTTGCTTCAGTTTACTTGGCAGGTACCCTCATCTTGGGACAAACAAGATGGACTTAAATCACCCCTAAGGTACATCTGCCGCAGGCCGGGTTTCTGTTGCGGAACTCCTGACTTTCGGCGTTAATGTCTGCCACGATTGTACAGACTTGGCCAATGACGTAGGCCCAAAACAGACCTGAAAGCCTCAGAAGCAGAAGAATGATCTTTCAGCCGACGGTCAGACTATGCTACTAGGTCCAATCTATGCGAACATATGCAGCACATCATACTGGGAACGAAGGTATGCCAAACCCCGACCCCGGAAGTGCAACGATTGAGACCAGGCACATGACCATCACAGTGCACACGATGCGCTCCAACACGTTCTGTGGACCAATATCGCCGTACCCCACTGACGTCATTGTGTAGCCTGGCATTGAAGCAATACTTTCTGCCCCTCTCAACTCCGGTCACGCGAGGTTATCGACCCGATGAAGACAGTACGCCACTGTACAGGGCTGGCCGGTGCAGAACTGGCAGATTGGCGAGGTCTATGAGAGCTGGGGACATTTTTGACATCGAGTTGCTACTGTCTTGTCACGAGTTTCTCCGAGGAGTCAGGAGGGCAGATTTCTATCACAGACCGACTAATCAATGCCCAGCCCAGCCATGCAGAAGAATCTGTGCATGATTCAGCGCTGGGGCTTTTGCTAATGAATGTCTATGTGCTTTAGCCTTGTCAGCTGCTATACCATCCAAGGGACTGCAGAAATAGAACGCGGCGATATATGTCCTCACGGCTCGGTCTTCTTCGAAGAAACCTTGTACTGCCAGCATGCACAGCTTTGTTCATGTCTTGGACTTACCATGCAGTACGAAACGCGGAACGATCGCTTTCGCAACAGCTCGGACTCAACACGTCGGACGACCACACCGAAGGATTCATGACTCCTCAGTGAGGCAAGAATCCAAAACTGGCATCAACTGTGGAAATGTCATCGATCCAGCGCGGGAATGCCTGGATCAGCACAGGGTTTTTGCATTTTCCAAACTAGTTGCTGTCTGCATGTGGCGAAGCTCTGCACCGGCCTTGTCAACGACTTTTAGCGTCATAGCCCACACGCATGCTAGCCAGTGGCACACGATCGCCAAGAAGCCCAGGAAGCGGAACAAAGCAAGCTGCTGTTGGTAAGGAATTGAGTACGGGATTTCGATCTTGTGAATAATCCTGACAAGAAGCAGCACAAGCAAGTGCAACATCCAGCAATGTGTCTAAAGGCGTCGCAAGCGCCTGTGTCAACAGTTAGTGTATGGCTATGTATGATGGCACGAGCAAGCAGAATGCCAGATCTTGTCTGGAAAACCTGCTTCCTCGTGAGTGTCGAGCCCACGCTTCCTGAGTGTAAATGCGGTTTCCGTATAGTTGGGTCAAATCCTCATGCGTGCACGTGATTGCAGACGGGTGCCCGACGCTGCAACTGACTTGTCGTTGCTAACCCTTCGCCTGTAAGTACAGTAATGACATGACCTCGAATTACCTTCCCAGCCCATTGAGCAACCAGAGATGCAGCGATTCGACACGCAGGCCACGACCACAAAGACACAATGCAACTCCGGACGGGCTGACGGACAAGCTGCCAAGACCGAAACACATGCTTCTGCAGCATGCAGATTTGCAGAAGACGCCGACATAAAAAGCCATCGTCAGTGTGCCATGCGAACAATACGCAACACTACACATGTTGTGCGATTGTAAAGCAGACAGGAGTTGACTTACTCGGAGATTCGCCTAACAACTTGACACCCAAGCTGGCACCTCGACGGCTTCATCAATCGCAGCATCTTCAGCATCCACAAAACACGAATCACGCGCGCGCCAGCCGGAGTCTCGGTGTCGCTGTGAAGAACACCTGTGAGGTCATTCCAGCACGCCAGGGTCTAGGGCTATTGACTACTGTCTGGTACTCGCAAGTCTAGTATAGTACAGTGGTCGTGATCTCGTAAGCAGCCGGCACCCTAACCAACGACAACAGCAACACTAACCAGCACCACAACCAGCACGACGACAACGACGACAGCAGCTGCAACAAAGACAACAAGAACACCAACAAACCAACCGACCAATCAAACAAACAGCAACAACTAATACACGGCAAGCACCAAACAACACACAACAAACAACAGACACCACAACTAGACAACAAGCAACAAACACTCCCCAAAAGCAAACGACCACGGCCAACAACAAGATCACCCGAACCAACAGCAGCAAACAACAGCAACACAGCAAGCAACATCACTAAACAACAGCAATATCAGCAACCTGCAAAGCAGCAATGCAGCAAGTAGCATGTTGCAGCAACCACCGCCACCGCCACCGCCACCACCGCCACGACAACCCACATGCATACCTACCTACCTAGCTACCTAGCTACCTAGCTACCTACCTCCTACCTACCTACCTACCTACCTACCTACCTACCTACCTACCTACATTGACGTGCATACATTGACATACATACATCCATACACACAAACAAACTAACTAACAACAAACAAACAACAAACAAACAAAAAAAACATACAACGATAAACAAACAAAGAGCAAAACCAAACACACAAACAAACAAACAACAACAGAAAAAACAAAAGCAAAAGCAAACACAACAGCAGCAGCAACAACAACAACAACACAGCAACAACAACCAACCAACCAAACAACCAACCAACCAACCAACCAACCAACCAATCAACCAACCAACCTACATACAAACAAACACAAACAAACAAACAAACATACATGCCAACGACAACAACCAACAACAACACCAACACCAACACCAACACCAACAACAACAGCAACAGCAACAGCAACAGCAACCGCAACAGCAACCACAACAACAACAACCACAACCACAACCACAACGACAACGACAGCGACAACGACAAAGACAACAAAAACAACAACAACAACA